TTCAGGAACACCCTTGAAAATCGGGGGCAACAATATTAGGATTTTAAAAGACATTCCATTTGATATAAGGCAGAAGAGAAAGAACTATAAAGAATTAACCCTTTTCTTACAAACAAATGGCATCAGTTACAGGTGGTTAATCCCAGAAGTCATCATTTTCAAGCTTAATGATAAAAAAGAAAAGATTGACTCTGTTTTTAAAGCATGTGGATCTCTGCGGACACCGCTTGGGGAACCAGAAGAGGGCAAAGGGGAGGAAGAAGAAAGCAAATCTGATGGCGAGTTGGGCTCAGGGTCTTTGGACGAGGACTCCCCCTCTGAAAAGGGGGCGGCTGCCCCCAAAAGCTCATATAAATTGAGGATTAGAAAAGATAAGAATAAATAAGGGCTGAAGGACTTTGATTTGTGCCTGAAAAAATGTTGAAATAACTTGGGGATGCTCTGGGAACTTCTTTAAACAGTTAAAGGGATGGTTAAACGATAATTAATCTAGCATAACCGACTAAATTCATTGTATTATTAGTAGCATGGTGATAAGCTGATGTATTGATCTCCTACGCTTGGGTTTTTAGTTAGTTGTGGGTCTTTTTTCTTTTTTCCCTAGATGTAGTTTCCTTTCCCTATGTTTTCTGTTGTAGTTTTGTAGTCTGTAAAAAAAATCAATAAAAACCTCCCCCCAGGGGGATGGGGAAAAAAGAGAGAGATTGACTCACGAGATGATGCAAGAGATATTGAGAACTAAAATACCATTTTTGCCGGAAATATTACTACTAAACATATTTCCAAAAGATTTTCATAAAGATTATAGATATTTGATAGTACAGCAGCAAGAATATTATATGAAAAATATTGGAAACAAATGGAAGCATCAAAGAAGAAAGAATATGTGAATAAACTGTTGGAGATGGCTGAAAATGACAAACTGTCATCGTTGATGAGAGGGACAACAGACCTAACATTTCAAAAGACGTGGAAAAAACTGCATGACTGGTATAATATAAATGCATAGTTTAAAGTAATGAAGTTTTTGGTATTATTAATCTCTTTTAGTTAAATAGAAACTATGGTAAAAAGATAAGAGTATACAGAAACTTAAGCAAAACCATAGAAAGTGACTTAAGAAAAATTTTAAGTATGGTAATAGAGTTATAAGAAAATATACTGATCTCTTTGTATGTCTTATGTATGTAAGTGGTTGTTTGTTTATATGTTGTGTGTATGTATGTGTATAATATGAAAAATAATAAAAGTGTACCCATGGGTACTTAAAAAAAAATTACAACTGCTCTCCAGATGATAGAGATCAGTTCCCCTGGAGGAAATGGTGGGCTCTGTGTCCTTATACTCTCCTGAGATGGCCCCCCTATGACTGCTGATGTGATGTAGCAGTCAGGGCTTCAGAGTATAGTAGAGGCTGCAGGTGTGCGGGGGGAGATGGAAAACTGAAGTCAGAGGGGGAAATGAAGGTAGGTTGATAACTGGCTGGGAAGGCGATAGGGTTGCCAACTCCAGGTTGGGAAATTCTTGGAGACTTGAGGGATGGAGCCTGGAGAGGGTGAGATTTGTGGAGGGGTGGGACCTCAGACAGGTACAGTGACATAGACTCCACCCTCCAAACCAGCCATTCCCTCCTGGGGAACCATTGTTGCCAATCTCCAGATGAGTGATGGAGATCACTCAGAATTACAACTGCTCTCCAGGAGGGAAGGCAGAAGTCAGCTGAAGTCAGAGGGGCAGATTCCTGGGGATTTGAGGGATGGAGCCTGGAGAGGGTGAGTTTTGATGAGGGGTTGGACCTCAGACAGGTACAATGCCATAGACTCCACCCTCCAAACCAGCCATTTCCTCCTGGGTAACGATTTTGCCAATCTCCAGGTGAGGGCTGGAGATCACTCAAAATTACAAGTGCTCTTCAGGTAGCAGAGATCAGTTCCTCTGGAGAAAATGGTGGACTCTGTCATTATACCCTGCTGAGGTTGCCATAGCAAACTGACACTGAGTGCCCAAGGCCAGGACACTCTCCCAGAGCCTCTTTCTAGAGTTCATTGTATTTATTTCCACAACAGGCCTTATTCCTAGTCCAGTATAAATTATAAAACTTACTTTTCTCATTTCAGTAATTTTCTAGGAATAAATATAATGAACTTGTAATAATTCTGCCTTAAGGTTGAACATAGAGCAAATTAAGATCCAGTGTTCCACAAGTGTTCCCAAATTTCAAAAGGGCATGGTTCTTTGCTGAGTTTAGTGTATTTTGTTTTAGTCAGTGCATCTCACAATTGAGGTTTATCAAATGACGCATTTAGGAATAAGATGAAATTATGGCAAAAAGGGAAATAGTGAATTTTCCTTACTGTGAGCAGTTTTTCAACACTTTTTTTGTACTTCTTTCTGGCATTGTCCACACCTGCACATAGAGCATGTTCTATTTCAGTAAAAACAAATTCAAGGTGTTCCTCCAAAGAGTCGAATTCCTTCGTCATTAATTCTTTCACATTGCTTGTCTGAAACACCTATAAGAACAAGAAAATGCCACTTCATCAAGGTACTCATAAATTAAAGGTGGTGCAATCATCCAAAAGAGAATTCAGCTACACAGAATCATGGGGAAAACAAACAAGAAAAACAAAGGACTTGGGAGCAGGAGGACTGCGGGTGATGGAAATGCTGGGCTCAAGAGACTGTGGCTGCATATTATGTACTTACTTGCATTCCCCAGACAAATATTTAACGGCAGGTGTGATGTCCTCCTTATTGGGGAGGACTAATTTCACTTTAAAAGTGTTCTTTATTTTGTTTTACTGGGTATATATGACTGCCACCAGGAAATTTTAAGGATTTCCAAACCTTTATGCTTTTACTGTTGCTCTTTTTAATTTGGTAGACCGAGTTCAAGGCTTACAGGGATCTATGTGGTCCTGGGAAGTATTTCATTCAGAGCTGGTATAAACTTGAATAAAAGAGGGTTTATTGAAATAAATACTAAATAAGATGGTGATACAATGTAACTATTAAGGTGTAAATGATGTACAATTGCTTTGGTATCACACTCAATCTTACCCCTCACTGACAGGGATCTTTCAGGTAACTTTGTAACACTTGTTTAACTCAAGGTCATATATGTTCACTGTTTCTCTCCAGTTTATCAGGACATACAGCCTTTCCTATAACTTGTCTTCAATTAAACTTTCATTTACTTTTTCCTATACACTCAGCTTTCCTTCTGTTTCTCACTGAACTACCTCAGCTGTCAGCTTATAACTGCCTCAACACAGAACTCTCTAACATATCGTCAACTTGTAACTGAAACTCCTGACTGACGCACAAAACCTCCACCCAGATTCACTTCCAAAACCCCTCCCCCTCTGTCAACCACCAATCATCCCACACTTGCATCTCTCAACCACTCTAGTCTACCTACCACAGCCATGCAACCAAACTTTTAAAGAGACACACAAAAAAACAAGGAATTATTACAGCAGGACTCTTATACTCCTATCTAGTCTATTCTAGCTGGCTGTATGCTTTGTGGCTCTAGTCTAGAAACTCTATGTTCATACCTCAGAACCAAAATTCTTAGCCATCTTGAGAAAGCTCAACACTTCAGTCACATAATCTGTCACCAGTTTCTGATTCTCCTTCAGATAGAGCCTCCTGATGTACTCCCTCAGCTCTGGTATCTCTGAAATATCAAAATAAGAGAGGCAAACAGTCAAAATAGTTTTCTGAAATACTTTCTGCTAGAAGTTCATTCCCTTTAAAATATTTCTTAGAATTTAAAATGGTAACAGAGTAATATAAAAGAAAGATTTATCTCTGTTTCTATACATTTACACAACAGCTTTGTGGTCAAATATGAACTGGTGTTAAACTAGACGGTGGCACTTCTAATCCATATCAACCTCCAATTACCTGTCTAATTATTTCTAAGGATGATTACAATAAACCTCTGAATTCCCATGTTAGGAAGCAACATCAGGGGAAGGCCTTGGGTTCTGTGCCCTGTTTGTTGGCCTTCTAGGGTAAATGGTTGACCACTGTGTGATATACGATGTTGGACTAGATGGACCACTCATCTGATCTACTAGGGCTCTTATGTTCTTATGCAATCCAATTAGATTGGATTTTATAATTGACTCAAGGTCCTCATCCCTGACATGGACTGTTCATCAGACCAAAACTCAGCAAGGAGACTAACCAAGCTGGTTTTTAAAGAACCCTATTTTCTCCCAGTATCCATAGAAACCACAGATACCAGGAGAGGGGCCATGGCTCAGTGGCAGAGCATTTGCTTGGCATGCATAAGGTACCAACTCTATCCCTGGTATCTCAAGTTAAAAGTATTAGGTAGTAGATGTTGTGAACGCCCTCTGCCTGAGACCCTGGTGAGCCATTGCCAGTCAAAACAGATATTGACCTTGATGGACCAGTGTTATAATTATAAAGCAGCTTTGACAACCCACTGGTAAGAAGGTTTCATGAATTTGCCAGGGCTTTCATTACCTGTTTCTTTTTTACTGAGGTGCTTTGTATCCCAGAATTCTCGGGCACTTATTGTATAAACCAATTTGGGCTTGTTAAGGACTTCCGAATCAGGAGGCAGCTTTTTCTGAAAGACACACAAATGGAAATATTTTTTACAAAAATGCTCCCTCTTTTGCTATAGCACCCGCAACAGATACTGTAGAAAGGAATCACAGATTCCCTCCACCTGCCCCTCCTTTCTTGTGACAAGTTGCCCCTCTACTCTGGCACTTACAATATAGAAAATTTATTTACTTTATTAAAGTTTTGAATTTCAAAGTACAATAGATGCTGATCATGGTACAAAGAAAAAAGTAACGTCAATGGTTTGTAATAGCTCATAAAAATATGGAGAGGTTCTTTCTCTAGGTTTCTCATTCCAAAACATTATGACCCTTGCCCAGAGTTCCAAGAATTTATTAGAACCATTAGAAAACTTCATTTCAGCCCTCTGATGGTATGTTCATTTAGTCAAGAATACCATATACCATGCACAATGAATTCATTCATTTACTGATGTAGATTCTGACTTTTTTCACTTTGCAGCAACAGTCAATTTAGCTGCTGCTAGAAGGATCATAACCAACTCTGTAACTGACAGGACCACATATTCCTTTATGTAGCCCAGCACAGTAAACTCTGGGTTAAAAAGTATATTGATGTTCAACCTTTTGTTTATTAATTGAATCACAAAATTATCAGAATATTTGAATTTTTGTACATTGCCAAAAATGGTTTTTATAGATGTTGTGAATCACAGAATTTTGATCCTGCTTCTGTTGCTATGTTTGTTGCTAATCGTTGCTGCTGCTGTCAACTTAGCACTTTCAGCACCAAGGCATTTTATAGAATTCAGCAAAACAAAAAACCCCAAACCCACATCCGTGAGCGAAGGAGAAGAGTTGGTTTTACACTACCCGAAGGTTTTATACTACCCGAAGGAGTATTGGAGTGGCTTACAATCACCTTCCTTTCCTCCCCCCGCAACAGACACCCTGTGAAGTAGGTGGAGTTGAGAGAGCTCCAGCTGGCCTCACATGGAGGAATGGGGACTCAAACCTGGTTCACCACATTAGAGTCCACTGCTCTTAACCACTACACCAAACTGGCTCTCAGAGGAGATTGCTATAATGGCTTTTACATGGGGGGGGGGGGGACAGGAGGACAGAAGAATGAGTGAAGTGAAGAGAGATACAAGGGTAACATCGGTTGAATAGAAGGAGATGCTTTTACATTTGTGTCAACTTGGTTTCGGCCAGGGGATAAGAACTTAAATGAAGCATTAGAGGATGTGGGATTTTTATTCAACAAGTCTGAGGGAAGAGACAGCCAGTACCATGTAGACAGGAGGAAGTTCCAGGCAAATGGGGACAGCAAGGCAGAATTTATTTCTTCAAAACATTTGTACTCAGCCTCTTAGCACGTTGTTCCCAAGGTAGCTTCTAATGATAAAGATGTCTGTTCGGGGCATCCATTGACCTCGTTCATTCCGTTGAAAGAGCAGAAATAGATTTATCTTCAAGCAAACTCTTTAAGCAGCCCAGAAGGACACCATGATCAATGGTACCAATGCTCCCTCTAAGCTGTGGAGTCTTGTGAGCAAAAATCCTACTTTGTGAGCTACTGGCATTAAAGTTGTGAGTGAACCGTTTGGCTACTGCATAAATTGGTCTGCTCTGGAGCCCTCCTTCCTGAGCTAAGACAAAAACGTGTGAGCAGGAGGCTAAAAAACTGTGAGCTAGCTCACACTAACTCAGCTTTGAGGGAACACTGAATGGTACCACAGCTGGCTTCACTGGGAAACTTAGGTAGTTACTTGCCACCTAATGAGAGCTGCCAGAGAGCTCACTCATAGTGGTGGCTTCTTGCTAGTGAACAAGGGAATCTGGAGGAATCAGCCTTCACTACTCCCCTCTACCTCTCCCTGCTTCTCTCCTTCCTTCCCCTCTGCCCAGCTTTCCCCTAGCAGTCTGCTATCTGCACAGAACATTTGCTCCTCTGTGTTTGGGTGTGTGTGTGGGGGTTTGGCTCCTACTCACTGTGGAGGTAGGTAAATGGGCTGCTCATGAGAGGTGCTGAGGGGTCGCCAGTGGGGATGGTGGCCGCAGTGCCTCCCATGCAGAGCCTGTGCTTGGAGAACACATCCATCTTGTCTGAGGGGGCTCTGCAGGATGGTCGTCGCCTCTGAATTGGCAGCCTGGACCCCAAGATTACAGAGTACCACCTTCTTAAGCTCCTTCAAAAGTTTGGCAAGGTGAAGCAATTTGACTTTCTCTTCCACAAATCAGACGCTTTGGAGGGTCAGCCCAGGGGCTACTGCTTCGTGAACTTTGAAACTAATAAGCTGGAAGCTGAGCAAGCGATCCAGTGCCTCAATGGCAAGTTGGCCCTGTCCAGAAAAATGGTGGTGTGGTGGGCCCACGCCCAGGTCAAGAGATACGATCAGAATAAGAATGAAAAGATCCTACCCATCAGTCTAGGGCTCTCGTCCATCACAAAGCCAGCTCAGTCCAAACTGGGTGTTAGCCCAAGCTGAAAATGATGGCAGAGGACCCAGATGCGGAATTCCCCGCAGTGGCTGCTTATTCCTACTTCAAGCCTCCTGATAGGAAACGGACTGCTCCATACTCCAGGGCAGCCTGGAAGTCAAAGAGATTATCCT